CCACCTCCTTCCTGTTTTGAAGGAAGCAGAAGTAATATTTCTGGGTGGGATGAAGGGCATGAGAATGCATGAGGGAAGAGACCTAATACTGCATCTCTGCTTTGTGTTCTACTGTGTTCCCTTTCCTTTAATCCATCAGTTCTCACCCTGTGGGTCATGGCCCCTTTGGGGGTCGCATATCAGATAGTCTGTGTATCAGATATTTACATTATGATTCATAACAATAGCAACATTACAGTTATGAAGTGGCAATGAAATAATTTTATGGTTGGAGGTCACCACCACGTGAGGAACTGTATTAAAGAGTTGCAGCCTCAGGAAGGTTGAGAACCACTGCTCAAATCCAAGTAATTACCAGTGAGGTAGCCATAGGCTTGATAGAAGAAGAATCTAAGGTAGCTGGTGGTGCTGATCTAAGTTCACGTAGTTATATCTGCAAGGTTTGTCCCAGGGTTGAGACAGCTGTCGAATATCCCGAGGTCACCTAGTCCAACTTTTATCCAAATATCTTTTTATCTTTTATCCAAATAAGCATGTTGCCTATGAGACATTGCTGCTACTGGAAAAGCTTCTACCCATCAGAGACTAGGCTAAGTCCACTCCACGTGTCTGATCTAATACGCAGATGAGACTTGCACTTGGGGCCATGATGCAGCCTGTAAGTCATCCCGAGACCGTGTGACGCAGAGCCCATTTCTCTACCATGTCACCATTTATTTTGTTACTTGAAAGAAGTGAAATGACATTCTGCAGCTCATCGGGTCTCTTGTGGCAGAGCAGTCTAGACTTTGGATTTCCTGCGTGCTCGCTGTCTGCTTTTTCTACTGCTTCCTACTAGCCGTGCCCTGCCAGCAGCAGAGTAAGGTGGACGGCCAACCAAAAGTGCCAGGGTTCTTTGTGGCCCCCGGTGCCATCACACCCCCAAGCCCAGCCAACGACATCTTTCTCAAGTGCTAGGAAATTGGTTACTTCTACAAGTTAGATGTCGAAATGTCTTTAAGACTCATGACTATTGATAAGACACAATTCGATGCTGTTTTCTTTTGAAATCAAATGTTAGTGAACACTAGATGTGATAAATCAGAAAAGATGTGTATGACAATTTGTTTTGTAAGTTGCATTAAACTCTAGTTACAGTTATTCATTGCCTGGGATTTTTTTTTTTTTTTTAAATTCTATGTTGTTAAGAGGGCAGTGTGAAAATATGGTGAAAATAGTTCTTTTCTCAGAAATGCTGGACACTTCCCTCGGTTTAAGCAGCTTCCCAGTGCAGTGTATATAATGAATCACCTGTCTCTGCTTGAGAATTGTCAGCCACAGAATGGAAAACTAGCACTTACGATGGGATCAAGTACCAAAATAAAAATAATCTGCCTTTGGATCATCACATGCCTTCCATAAATCACAGTGGTTTTCTGGAAGAAATCGCTTGCTATCTTTACGAAATGAGCAGCCAGGACTCTTGACCTTTGATAAGGAGACCTAGGGTGTCATCTGGGCATGTCTTCGGTTCCTTCAGCACTTGCTGAAGGCCTGCTAAGCACGTGGTGGAGGGGTGGTGCACAGCACCATGGGAGGAGAAACAGGAGATTCAGGAAGACCTTGTTCCAGCCCTGGCAGAGATTAATGGCTCTGCCAAGCCAAGCCAAGGATCTTGAATCTCAAGTTCCTCTTTTCTGATTTTACACTCCCTGCTTTCACCCAGTCTGAGCTGTGTTTTGATCCTATGCTAAGGGTAAGACATAGAGTTTGTTCTGTTTGATGATGGAGAATGATATACTGTCTTTTTGCCTATTACATGTCCTTAGACTGTGTTATAAACGACACATACCATCATATAAATGGATTATCTGGTCAAACAAAGCATTTAAATCCTTAGCTTTCAGGTGAGCTATAAAAAAATACAGATAAAATTATAAAACACTGTGTTTCTGCAAGGAGCCAAGAATTCCCCTATCCAGGAAAACCCAAGCCTAAGGCACACCTTTAATACTCTCAAAAAGTCATGTGTGGTTAGATGGGCACACACATCCAAGCGTTCTTATTCATGGTGTGTTCATATCATTTAACTCATCTGAATGTCAGTATGTCAACAGTCAAGAAATCAAAGCAGTACTGTTTGGGGGCACGAGGGGCTCCATCCCTTTCAGTCTTGCCTGTCTAAACACATCTTGGTTCTGTTGTTTTACTGCCTGCTTGAATTGTTTTCTGTGAGGAAGCGTTAGCTGGGCCAGCTACAAATAATGAATGGCACCTTTCGTGCTACTCCTTGGCACATGAGTAAGTGGAGTTCTCTATGTGCCCCTCCTGCTGGATTCCAACCTGTGCTCTCCATGGACAGGGCTTGTCTAGGCTGTAACACTGTCAGAAGAGCCGGTCTAATTAATTGCCAGTTCTTATCTTTTGGCCACTTAATCCCACCACCATTTCTTTCCAGTGCGACACTGAGGGATTGTCATCTGCCTTCTGAGTCAAATCCCAACCTTGAAAGAAAAGGTGTTTTCTATTGCTAATGTTGCTCCATGGACAGTGTTGCTGGCTCTAAAGTGTTGTATACAAGTATTTCCAATTGCCATGGGTTCTAGACAATGGGTAGGGGTGGAACTAATTTTATTGATTTTTTTTTTTTTTTTTTTTTTTTAAGCAGGGAGGTCTCATTAAGTTGCCCTTTTCTGGAATTTGCTATGTAGACCAAGTCAGCCTTGAACTCACAAACATCCACCTGCCTCTGACCCTGGGGTGTTATGATTAAAAGTGTACCACTATGACTGGTCAGGGATAGAACTAAACGTATTTTCTGCAAATTGATTTTTAAAAGTCCGTTTTCCATAGTATTTCCTGTACGGTATGTTATCTTTGCAAATACAGAGTGAGTGAAAAGCTGCTGGGAAAGATGTGGGTTGGTGGAAAAGATGGCCCAGTGGGGTGACAGGCAGGTAGGCCAGTGTTCGAAGGGGTCCTCAGAATCCCCAGAAGTCTGCTCAGTCCCAGTCAGCGATGATCAACTTAAGAGGTCTGTTTGATTGAACATAAGTCACCCTTCCAAGAGTGGGGGATATGCTATTTGTGGAAGAAGGGCTTTCCTACATATACTTAACTTAAAAAATTTATAAAAATTAAATTATTATCATGTCATTTTTCTTCTTTCCTTTCCTCCATCGACCTCTCCCAGGTACCCCCTTGCTCTCTCATATCATAACCTCGTTTTTCTTTAATTATTGATGCACACACACACATTCCTAAATACAAAAATATAACATGATCAGTCTGTATAATGTTACTTATATATGTATTTACTTTGTATCGGATAACTAATGAGCTAATTGTGTGGCTTTTCACTGAGAAAGGCTGTTTATCCTGGTCTGAGAATTCCTTAGTTGCTGGTATTTTTTGTCTAAGGGTGGGGCCCTTCGAAACATCCTCTATGTCTTACTGTACCCGTAAAGGTATACAGATAACACCTTACTGTAGTAAGTTACTTAATCTACCCAAGTATGTTATTGTATCTTATAACATTCATTTGGAAAAGATTTGGGGATTTAAATATGCAGATATATAGCATTATGTATGACCATTTTTGTCATCTTTCTGCATTTTAAAACCATCCCTTGTGGGCCAGCAAGATGGCTCAGCAGGTAAAGACACTTGCTGCCAACCCTGATCATGTGACTTGAGTTCCTGAAATCCATGAGGTGACAGGAGCGTGCCAACAGCTCCTGCAGTATGTCCTCTGCCCGCCACCTGTGCACCCCACACACAGCCGAATAAATTAAAGGATGGAAATTTTAAAACTACCTCTTGGTTAAACGTTATGTTTGCAAAAACACCCTTTTACAGGCATGCGTTTGCCATTCTGCCTTCTGCCACAGTGAAAATCTAGGAAACAGGTCAGTTTGTCGTCAACACTGCTGGTCCTCAATGACATGAGGAGGGAAGGCCGTTTTGTGACTTAGTGACTCTTACAGGTATTGCTTCTTGTTGTGCTAAAGGAAGTCAGTGGGTTGTCGTTCAGAGATGTGAATGAAAGCTCTAGTGAGTTATGGCTGTTGCACATTCATTTTGTGTAACAAGAAAATTCCTTGAAATTCTTGCGCAGTTTGCCTTGGAAAATGCACGAGCATATAGTGAGAATTATTATCGTTATGTATTATTATTGTTGTTGTTTTTATAATTGGTCGCTTAAAAATGACAAATGAATAGCAGAGAACTGTTGGCGGTTGATGGTTGGTGTGGGGGGGGGGTCAGTTTTCTTCTGCCGTGTGACCTCTCCTGCGTTGCTCATGTTCCAGCGAACAGCCCTTTACTCGTGCACACACATGCAGTCGCTCACTGGACTCAGTGGGTGATGAAGAGAGAAAGGAAGGGGATACTAAGTTGGGGGGTGGATATGGAGGGCGGTGTCTAGGAACGATTGGTATGGACAACAGGAGGGATAGGATCAAAAGGCATTGTATACACGTAGGAAATTAAAAAAAATAAATAAAATAATGTTTTAATGTTGCCTCACTATTTTTGTTCCCTTTGTTCTTACCTCCCCTTCAAATCTTCTGTTAGAAACAAAGACTTTGTGCTAAAAATTATAGCTGCTTAAAAGTATCTACTACATGCAAGGTATAATTACGCTAAAACAAACACTGAAGAACCACAAAGAGAGAAATAAATTTTTAAGAAATGGAATCAATTCTTCTGTTTCGTGGGTTTACAGAATATTATTTTTATTGACCAAACCTTCAATAAATTTTTAAGTAATGGCCAGAGATGCTGTTGCCGTCTGTATACCTGATATCTCAGTCATTACAGTTCCTTTGGAGCAGGGAAGATTGCTTTTACGTATGGGAAAGGTGCTGCGGTGCTATTTCATGTCGGATAAACCTTGCTTTGTTTGCTGGGGAGATCGTTGTAGCACACACAGCTTCATTTTCGGCTGATGTCACACACAGGAAGAGAAGAAGTATGTTTGGTTTTGCTTTGCTTTACCAACTAAATGTTCTTTCTTTTAGGGTGTGTTGGAGAGTTTCCTGGGTACCGCCGTCTCTGGAGCCATCTTTTGCCTTTTTGCTGGCCAGCCGCTCACCATTTTGAGCAGCACAGGACCTGTCTTAGTGTTTGAGAGGCTTCTGTTTAATTTCAGCAAGTACGTTTATGCCTGTCTGTCTGTCTCTCTGTCTCGTTATTTGCTCGTGTATGTCGTTCCATCTGGATAAGGCACAGAATAGCAATGAAATAGATCCAAGGATCTGCCAAAACCCTAGAATGATAAGATTTGGAAGTGAAAAGTGCCTTCTTGATTAAGTTGTCCCCGGCTTAGCTGACAGTCCTTTCTGTAGGCCCATCTGTGCTTTCTGTTTATCCCTTCCCTAGTAATTCTCTCCCTTATTGCTTTGTTTCCTGCCCTGAGGGCTGACTCCCAAGGACTTCAAGCCCCAGATTCCTCTGCCCTCTAGGACTTCCTACTGGTTTAGATAATGAAGAGAGAGCTTCCCATCCTTCCCCATCTTGAGCACAGCAGCCTGGCTTGCTTCCTGACACTAGCCCCTGTCAGGCGGCCTGTCTAGCCTAGTTTTAGCTCACCAGGCTCTCTAACTCCATTCCTTGTCTGACCTTTACAAGCCCAAGATTGATAATGGCTTCCTGCTCTAGTTAGCTCAGAGTGCCTCTACATTACCATCTTTGGGGGAGGGAGAGCTAGGCTTTCGTAAATAGCCTGTTTATTTTGTTTTCCTTGGATCCCACTTTAAAAAAAAAATGTCTTTTTCTGCCATGATACTGAAACTGTGTAGAAACCAAATGACTTATGCTAGGTCACGTGGTTCATTAATGAAAGAAACTGAATGTTCTTAGTCCCTAGTTCCTAACTCCAGTTCCTGTGTTCTTCACTGTAGATGGCTTTCAGTACTCAGATGAATAATAATGACACCGGTATTTTCTTTTAAAAATTAATAGATCATTTTGAATAGGGGGGATATTAAAATAAGTCAATTATTTAAATTATTATTTTAGCATATGAGTAGATTCAAAGTAAAAGTGGGTATCCTTGTCTCTTCTTGATACCTGATAGATTTCTAAGATAGCATTGTCTGTACTGCATGACCTTAGTCCTTAGATGGCAAAGTTTGTCAGGTCCTGTGAGTATTCCTTTGTAGAATTTTCATATTCTGTATTGTTATGTGTTGCAGGATTTTCATTTAGAATAGCCAGTGTTTATACAGCACCAGTGTTAGTTACTTTTCTGTTACTGTCCTAGGATGAAACTTAGGGGAGAAAGGGTTCACGTTGGCTTACAGTTCAGAGGGGATACAACCCATCATGGGCTAGAAAAGCACGGTAACATAAGTGTGAGGAGCTCCTGGCTTTCAGGAAGCAGAAAGAGAACAGGAAAGGGGACCAGGCTATCCAACCTCAAAGCTCACCTCCAGGGCTATCCTCCCTCCACTAGGCTTCCACCTTCCAAAATTTCCCCAACTTCCCCAAGCAGGAGATCCCGTGTGTGTAAACCCACAACCCCAAGGGGTATATTCCATATCAAACCTAACCATAACATTGCTCATGGACTTAAAGGCTCTCACATAGCTATTGAAACTGTGTGTGTCATTGAAAAGTATCATAAGTTACATGAGCCGAGTGAGGGTTTGATACCTAAAAAAAAAAAAAAAAAAAAAAAAAAAAAAGTGGGTGGATAGCATCAGCGAGAGTCGTCTGAGCACTTGGAGTTGAACTATTTAATAAAATAGTGTTTTCTGTAGATCATTGCTACAGATTTCTCCTCCGTCATAATTCTGAGGACATGGAAAGAATTTTATTCATGTCAGTTTACAGAGCGAGTCAAACAGTTTTTATATGTTTAAGAAAACATTTTGTGAGACAAGAAAGGCTTCATGGGAAGATTAAACAAGCATGCACTATAAACAGGAACAAACAGGCAGAGCCTTACCGAGAGATTTATTGGATGAAATGCGGTCAGAGTCGGAATCTACAGAAAATGTTTGTGTCTTGGTTTGTTTTAGTCGTTGTAGGCTTCGGAGTATTTCCTTCCACCAAGGGAGTTCCTTTCTCACTTTCCCTTCTGTTTCATCATAATTGGTACTGTAACACAGTCTCAAGCAGTTTACTTGAAAACAGTTGTAGCAATGAGAAACATTTGCAAAACTGCCTTAAAGTCAACACTGCCTATTATGTGGCAAATGATCCTTTTATTCCCCCGTGCAGCGAATTTGTTCATCTGCTTCTGTTAGAGCAGTAATGCTAGTCTGGCCTTGTGGCTCACCCTTTCCCAAAGCCAATGTGACCCACTCTCAGGCTTCTGAGCTGCTCTGTGCAAACGACCTTCCCAGCATGTCTCGGGAGGGCTGTGCTACAACCTCCACATCCTCATCAATACACTAAAGAGTCAACATGGCTCTTCAGCTAAGCAGCTATTGGTTCATTTTGCCTAGTTTTTCTGCAACACAATTTTCCCTTTCAGGAGCGTAGGCGAGTGCTTGTGTAGCAGGATCAGGGGTGGTTCTTACAGATTGCTACCTCATAGACTCGTGAGATTCTCATCTCCTGTTTCTTCTTGAAAATTTAAACGTTGCATTGTTTTAGTTAGTGATCTCATCTGAGTCATTCTCACTTACCTTGGCAGTTTGAAAGTCTCTTAGAATAGCGAGTTTGGTGTCTACTCTTTAGAGTCTAAGATTTAAGTTTGTATGCGCATTTTTTCCCTTTGTGTCCAAACTCATAATGTTTTAACTGCTAACAATGACTGGATTTGTGTCTTATCCTCGTCTGCAAACATCAATTCTGTAACTCCCTCTAGCTTCCTTGGGACAAATCTGGAGGGCTTTAGCTGTTTATCTAGGCACGGTGGTGCACGCCTGTAATCTCAGTGTATGGGAGACGGAGGCAGAAGAAGCGCTGTGACTTAACCACCAGTGCGGGTTATGAAGTGAGTTCCAGGCAAGCCTGAACTATTGAGGGAGCTCTTTCTCAAAAACAAAGCATAAACCAAACGAACAATAAAAGATGGTTCTAGTTTTCATCTTCTTGGGGTGGCAAAGCTAGATAGTTGTTTTAAACTTTTAAGAAAAACACGTGTTGGCTCACACGGCAGTAAAATATTTCTTTACTCTTGTTCTTTGGCTGACTCACAGGATAATATGAATTATCTCAATTCTTAGGGCACGTTTTTTCTGCGGGAGCCTGCTTATCTCTCACAGCTGTGCATTCAGCAGTAGAGATATAGACACACAGAGCTGGCAGGGTGACACTCTGTGGCTTACCTCTGACGATCTGTAGAACAGAACTTCACATTAAGCATTCAGAATTTCCATTTTTTCTGTTCTAACTGTTGCCTAATGGGATGAGGCCTGTCCACATTCACCCAAAGTCTGTGCATTTGAATGTTAATATCTCCAGAAACAGACTTGTGGAAACAGAGTGATGTCGGACCACTTATCTGCGAACTCTCTATTTCAGTCAAGCTGACAAAAAAATTAACTATACCAGTGTCTAAGAAACTTAAAAATGTAACATTCTTTAGTAATGTAACTCACAGGCCACTGTCAGCCACCTTCTTAGTTAAGACATGAAATATAGGCATGCTTTCATTCAATAGAGGAATGTATTAGGCAGTTTTTTAAATGAGCAAAGTATTGTTCTAAGTGGCGGATTAGAATTCTGCCCTATGAGCAGTGGGAAGTCACTGTGAGGTTTTAAACTAAGGTATATGATTAACACTTAAAGCGATCATTTAAGCTCTGGTGTGGAAAATGGCTCTGTACAGGGCAAGCATAGATAGCAGATAATTAATCAGCCCAGAGGTTTTTATCGGGTAAAAATTTAGCTGCTCAAACTGAGATGATAGAAGGAAATGAGGTGATCTGATGCCTTTAGGAAAATGTTAGAACTGTGGCTAGCAGTTATCAGACACCTTGTTGAAAATCAAGTCTTAGAATGTCAGATACGCAGGATCCTTGATGCTTGGGTTCTACCTCCTTCCTCACCACAGATGAACTGTAGGCAGACTTTTCTGTCCCACCAGCCACTCCCTAAGTAACCAGACAGAGGCTTTAATATTAATTATAAATGCTCAACCTATAGCTTAGGCTTGTTTATAGCTAGCTCTTATAACTTAAATTGACCCACTTCTATAAATCTATGTGATGTCCCAAGCCTTGTTTACCTCGTGTATGTACTTCCCATTCTGTTGGCTCTACATCTCATGGCACCTCCTCAGACTCCTCCTCCTCCTCCTCTGCGCATTCTCTTACTCTTGTCCTAACCTTGTCCTGCCTAGCCATCAGCCAATCAGCTTTTTATTCCCAATGAGAGCAACACATCTTCACAGTGTACAGAAGGGTTATTCCACAGTAATAAATTATGAGTTAGTGATCATTAAAAACACCCACTCTCTACATAATTTAAAGATACTCAGTATGCAGTCATAAAATGTCAACACTTGACCCATCATTTTCTATTGGTCTTGACTTTAAAGAAGTGGGACGGGAATTGAAAGCTAGTAGCCTAGTCAGATGGTGATGAACTATTCTAAGTCTTCTATGGAACAAGCCCAGGAAGGAGAGGGCAGACACACCCAGTTACGGTAAGAGGATATCCTGTCTGTGGGCACTCACATGAGAAGCTGTACTGGTTGGCTGTGTCATGCCGGGGCAGCCTCTCTTGATCTGATAAAGAGCCCATGCCTCTACTCCTGTCTCCTCTTGTTGGTGATGCTCTCTCTATCCTCACTGCTTAGCTCTTGAACTCTTCTTCTGCTCCCTGGCCTGGCTCTCCCTACTCAGTCAGGAGAGTTTCTTCAGAGATGTTCTCAAACACCTTGATTTCCTTTCTACCGCCTCATTCTCTCCCCAAATTACTTACCCTTTCCTCACTTTATTATATTATCCCTTATAATAAAGTGATCTTTATTATAAGATCACTTAGCATCTTATGATAAAACCGTGTTCATCATGTTGTCTCCCTTAGTAGAAGACGGTCCTGAGTTGAGTGTCTAGAGCATGCTGATGTTAGTGTTGTTGCCGTTAACTGGTAAAACTCATGTTGCCCCCCCACATCTGCTATCAGTGCTTTTAAACAGTTTACTCTGTACGCGCCATGAATCCTTTTTACAAAAAACCTTTTAAGTTAAGCTTAATCTTTAATAATTTAATATATTCATTGTAGTTATACTCACCCCTTCCCCTCTCTTATCTCCCCTCCATCCCCATTAATCCTTTTCGTATTCCTAGAAATCCCTTTCCAGATTTCATATCCCTTTTTAGTGTATTGTGACTCACCTAGTTCAAGCAAGGCCATTTGTATGACATGCTTGATATTATCCATTGGAGTCAGGTGGGTTTGCCAGTGGGCAGGCAAGCAAAAGCAATTGTAATTTCTGTGCTTCTCCAGAAGATGGCACAGATCTCTTCTGTCTCCTATAGTCTATATTCTCTGTGGCCACTTTGCTACCCTAATCCTTCAGCCTTGCACAGATGTTATAAATATTATAAATATTGTAGGACTGACCAATCAATCATCACTTATCGTCAGTATCTTGAGAATCCCTCAGTCTCCAGTTTCACTGCCATTGACTAGAAAGAGGGTTTTTTTCTGAATAAAGTGAGGATAACATTTGTCTATAGATATAAATGTTTAATAGGCATTTTTACACTGTGTCTGTCTATCCCAACAACAATGTTAAGTTCCTGTCTAGGATCTGTGACCTCCCCAGCCGTGGGTTTTTAGCGGATTTACATTACTACGCCTGCGGTTCCTATGGTAGAGCAGGCCTCGGATCCAATCAGCAAATAATTGGTTTCCTCTGGGTAGTCAGGCCACTGATGCACAGCTATGCCAATGTTGCTTGTCAGGTTTGTTCTGTAGTTCTTGGGGTTCACAGCTGGTTAAGAGCATGGATATTGTTTCTTTCCCAGAAGTTTCTCATAGTTACCCTTTGGTTCTGTGAAAGCCAGCTAGCAGGGAGGAAGCTTCCACCTCAGAAGTTACTTTTTTGAAAGAGAAAAGTAGTGAGTTTTATTCTCTAACACTAAATGTACTTTCTAAGAGCCTTCTTCCCTCAAAAACTTTTAGAGTCATTCCTAAAGATAGCATGATAATATCAAATAAATATCAAATAAATCAAATCCTTAAGTTTACTATTTCCTGGATAGAATCGAGCTTTATATGCAGTGTCTGAAGGGATCTTTTAACAGCCATTCTCTGGGCATTTTAGTGACTTTTAGGTTCATCTTGTTTCCTGGTGGAATAGTCAAAATATCTGTATTTTGGTTTTTCTTTCCAGGGACCATAATTTTGACTACTTGGAGTTTCGTCTTTGGATTGGCCTGTGGTCGGCCTTCCTGTGTCTCCTTCTGGTGGCCACTGATGCCAGCTTCCTGGTTCAGTACTTCACTCGTTTCACGGAAGAAGGTTTCTCCTCTCTGATCAGCTTCATCTTCATCTACGATGCTTTCAAGAAGATGATCAAGCTAGCCGACTACTATCCTATCAACTCAGACTTCAAAGTGGGATACAACACACACTTCTCCTGTGCTTGCCTGCCGCCCGACCCGGGTAAGGAAACCTTGCTTCCTGCTTGCACTCACCCTCTCTGTGGGAAGGCGTGAACTCATGCTCCTGATGACAGGGTCTGACCTGGCTTTCTCCGAGGAATCGGAGTACTGGACGTGGCATCTGAGGTGTCTGCAGCATGTGATTCAATGAGGAAATGACAGCAGGATTGTGAGGGTGGGAACATAGCCAGCTCAGTACTTTGTGATTACCTCAAACAAGGAATGTACTTTATTCGTAGTTTTATGAGGTAATTGGGGCGCGCAGGCATGGGATATAATGAGTCTAAAGAGCAGAGGAACTTCTAGTTCCTCTGAACTTCTAGTTCACATTTTCTTGCATCTTGATTGTGATGAATATCTCTTCTTTTAAATGATGCTTAAATAAATTACCTTAAACTATAGAAGGAAATGTACCAATTGAGTTTTTATAAGTTGAATCATAAAATTTAAAAAGGAAGTTAAGATTGGAGGCCTCTAATGGATAAGTGGGACCTTTTAGTCTAACTTGGCTGTGCAGTGTCAGTAAGGAGGAGAAGCTAAGAAGGAAGGAAGGTGACCATGTGAGCACACATACACATATGTGTATATATATATAATATATGTAATATGCTAGTGGCAGATTTATGTCATTAACTCAGGAGAGTGCACAGCAACTCTTGGGTGAGGAATGGGACTGTACATCTTAATAATTTAATACCTGTCAGTCCAAACTTAAGCCATTATCAGTTTTTTTTATAAAAATGTGTTCAAAGCCATTAAAATAGTTGTAGAATAGTTTAACATTGCTTTATAGAACACAGGGCTTACGGAAAAAGACTCACTCTGAGTAATTTGCTGTGTATTTGCTATAGTAGAGTAAGGGGTAGATGTTTGCATTATACAATTTAAAGACAACCGTATTATGGATAGATACCATGATGTACAGGTGGCTATAGGATGGTGTTCCCTAAAGTAAAACTTGATATGCATTTCACGATTTTTGGGTAAGGCCTAGTGAATTGAGTGTAACAGAATCCTGGGATGAGATAAGCTCAGGGCATAAACATGAGGCATATTTATGGAATCCACTTTTACTTCTGGATTCTGAGACTAAGAATTTTCATATTTATGGTAAAGGAAATGGGATTGCTCTATAGACCAGATACAAAATGAATATGGATATGAAAGTAAAAGGTTTGTTGCGCTTATGAGAAGCTTTTTGAGATTGCTCCCAGATATACTACTGTTATAACTCATTCTCCCCTCCTCACAGGTAGAGAGGACAGATTTCCTCCACCCTGGGGACACTGATTTCCATCTGGGTGGTGAAGGAAGAGAGGAGCCCCTCAGGGGCCATTAGTCATGATACTGATGAGAATAGTGGGTATCTAGGACTTCACATCCACAACTCTTCTGGTCAAGTTGAATGATGATAAACATACATTCATGTCAAACCCGTACTTACGAGTAAGGTAGAGAAGTGTAAGATTGAGATCTCAGTATTGAGATGAATTTGACTATTGCAGAGCTTTAATAGGCTTGAAGGGGTAGTGCACGGATATCCTACTCATTAAAACGTGGCTTGTGTCAGACGTGGTGGTGTGTGCCTGTGTATTGCTCAGGATTCTCTAGAGAAACAGAACTGACATATAGTCATTATATATATTTATATATTCATTATATACACATTATGTTTATAATATGTTAATACATTATACATGTATATGGGATTTATTATAATGGTCTAGTTAGTCCAACAATGGCTGTCTACCAATGGAAAGGCCAGTAGTTGTTCAGTCCATGAGGCTCCGTGTCTCAACTGGTCTTCACTAAACACTGAAGTAGGCTCCCATGCCAGTGAGGGAATAAACTTGGCAGTGAGTTCGAGGGCAAACAGACAAAGGTCAAGAGCTTCCTTCTTCCATGTTCTTCCATGAGGCTGCCACCAGAAGGTGTGGCCCAGATTAAATGTGAATCTTCCCACCTCAAAAGATATTAATTAATTGTGGGTCTCCCCGCTCAAATGAATTAATTAAGAAAAATCCCTCATGGTGTACCCAACTACTTGGATTTTAGTTAATTCTGGATGTAATCAAGTTCACAACCAAGAATAGCCATCGCATTCTATAATCCCAGAACTCGGGAGGTTGAGGTAAATGTGTTGCCACAAGTTCAATGACATCCTGGGTTATGTAGTTCCAAAATGGCCTACAGAGTAAGAATCTGTCTCCAAATCAAAGCCCCAAAATGGTTTGTGAGTTGTGTCAAGTATTAAAATAATCGCACCTGTTCCTACCCCAGAAAAATGCAGCTATGTGGGGGCTTTCTTGGGAGAGAGAATGTTTAAAACTTATGGAAACCATTAGTCTGAGCTTGGGGCAGTATGGACAGCGAAAATACTGGATTCAGGGACTGATGCTTGCCTCGTACATGCATGGCCTTGGGTTCAATCCTCAATACTTGTGGGGAGGGAGGAAGGAAGGGAAAGAGGTAAGGAGGGAGGAAAGAAGGAAGGAAGGAAGGGAAGGAGGGAGGGAGGGAGGGAGGGAGGGAGGGAGGGAGGNGGAGGGAGAAAGGAAGGAAGGAAGGAAGGAAGGAAGGAAGGAAGGAAGGAAGGAAGGAAGGAGAAAAGGAACTCACAGGCATATTGATAATGGGATTTTGGAATTTCCATTTTATTTATTTATGTGTATATACATACATACATATATGTATTTATGCAAAAATCTGTATAGTGACTTATTACACAAGTCTGTATAATCATTAAGCAAGATTTCCTAAAGGAAAATAATTGCCACTCAGCTGTTTTGAGGTGTGAGGTGTTTGTGAAGGTGGATGAGGGATTTGTCTGCACACCTGTCACACACAAAAGATAGATCAGGTGCTGGCCCCATTCTACCCATGGCTAATGGAAACTTTCATTCATTTCTTTTCATGGGATGCTGGCAGACAAGTTAATACAGGACAAAGGCAGGCATCACTGAGTGTGTTCAAGTTGAAAGAGAGAGACAGAGACAGATAGGGAATGAGAGACAGAAGGAGAGAGAGGGGAAGGGAATAGAGATGGGGTAGAGAGACAGGAGGCGGTTTTCCATGAAGTTTTGACTGCCAGGAGGTATCTTTGTATGAAAAGATGGCACTGAGGGCTGAGCCAGCTTTACATATGCAGCGCGTTATGGACAACAGAGTTTTCACTTCCTTTTTATCTGTGTGTGCAAAGTCCAGGCTGCGCAAAGCATCAGTCTTGAACTTCTCTCAGGACACCAGTTCCCACTCCCTCCAGTTGGTACCAGTATTGATTTTCTGTTTCAAGTGCAGTTGAATGATGCCAAATATATGACTGGAGCAAGTTCCTTCTCCCCAGGCAGCCTGGCATCACCTTTCTGATCTGTAAGATGTGTTAATAATAGTACATACCTTTAGAACACTCTTGAAGACGGCTGATACATTGGTATATGCCCATAATCCAGAACTTGGGAGCCTGAGGCTATCTAATATCAACCTTGTATCACCTCTCATACACGAAGGAAATGTTTTAAAGTAAATTAGTACACATTAAGTGCTTAGAATGCTTTCTAACTTGTAATGAGTAATTGAATGTTACCTGTTTTTTGTTGTTATTATTCACTATGCTTTAATCTTTAGTTAGCACATTCTTTGTATGGCTCATTTTTCCTCTAATAATACACCATTGCGCAGTTAGTCTATTCTGTATCCACACTGATGATTGCACTTAATTTAGTAACTGGCCCAGGCAAGTGACATTCATGAAATGTATACAGGAACTGAACGTTTCTGAGCCTTGCTTGTGGTTTTGAAAATGGCATGTAGATATGTCTTAATCCTGCCCTATTGTTGTGAAGAGACATCACGACAAAGGTGACTCTCATAGAGAAAGCATTTAATTGAAGACTGGCTTACCGTTTCAGAGGTCTAGTCCATTAGCATCATGGCAGGGAGCATGCTGGTAGGCAGGTGCGGTGATGAAGAAGTAAGCTATGCATCCTGATGTGTAGGCCAAGAGAGATTCTGGGCTTGACATGAGCTTTGGAAACCTCAAAGCCCATCCCCAGTGAGGCACTTCCTCCAACAAGGCCACACCTCTTCATCCTTTTCAAATAGTACTGCTTTCTCACTAAGCCTTCAAATACATAAGCTGATGGGGGCCCTTCTTATTCAAACCACCAGAGGATGTTTGTATTTTTGTTAAGACTTTCACGGTTTTTTTTCTAAACTCTATAAGGTTAATGACTATAGGTTGTGCATGGTGGCACATGCCTTTAATCCCTGCACTTGGGAGGTACAGACAGTGGATCTGTGTGTTCAGGCCCAGTCTGGTCTATATAGTGAGTTCCAGGCCAGCTAGAGCTACACAGTGATACCCTGATTTTAAAAATAAAAAAAAGAAAAGAAAAATGAAAAAGAAAAGAAGAAAAACAAGCAAATGACTGGACAGTTCCTACACAGCACTCTCCTCTAACCTTTGTCGTGACAGCGAACTGCAGAGACTCATCATAAATGTATTACTTCTGCGGAACAACATGAAACAGTGCAAGGGAGCGCTGCACGTCCAGCTCAAGGAAGCGCTGTAAGAACAACAAAAGGCTGGTCTTTCATCACAACATGCACTCCTAGTAAAAGAATTCACTCAATGAGTCAATAATATTTAAACTGGCAGATGGCTTGTTTTTCACCACTGGGGCCGTGTGCAACAACGAGCCGGCCACTGCCCAGATGGAGCCGTGATCCTGCAAACGGAGAAGGAACTAGAAATAGGGGTCACGAATCACTAAGAGGGCTGTATTCGTGTCCATAATGTATTATAGCCACACTAATCACTAGGAGGATTGTATTCACATCCATAATATATTATAGCCCTTGAAATGTCTTCATGTTTTAATAGTGTAGGCATGTATTATTCTTTATTCTTTGAGAACTTCATAGCACATTTTGAGCGTGTCCACACGCTTCCCAGCTGCATCTCCTTTGAGACTCTCCGGAGTCCCTCTGCCAACTTCTTGT